CTTCTTCTTCTTCTTCTTCTTCTTCTTCTTCTTCTTCTTCTTCTTCTTCTTCTTCTTCCACTGCCCTGCATAGTTTTTGAGGTTTGTGTATTATTAAGCTTTTCTGGGTGTATTTTGCATGCTGATCTCAAAAATGTTATCCATTTTGCTCAATCAGGTCAGAATTTTGTGCTATAGCATTTTAAGCGGAGATTCAGGTAAAATGTTGGCATTTTTCGCTCAAAATGGGGTCCTCATATTCGTTCATTAAAAAAATCATCCGAGACATTGGCAAGCCTCACAGAAAAGATTTCTGTCAGTTTTAATGCCCTTACGATGCATTTAAATACACCCACGTGCTCGCCGGCCATTTAAATGTCTGCCGTGACGCAAAGGAAAAGAGTATATGTCCGTGTTTTTTTACATATATTTTCTCACAATTAAATTTCTTTTTCATCTGGTTGTACATGGCATGTTTCTTCTGTCTGTGGGATAGTCGAGCAGACAAGCAGCACTACATGCAATGTGACTGGCCTGCAAGAAGTGGACTTACTCCAGGTTCTCACAATGTTGTTGCCCATGCTCTGGTGAATCCGCAGAACATTCTTCTTCCGCCACTGCACATCAAGCTCGGTCTGTTCAAAAACTTTGTAAAGGCACTGGACAAAAAAAGCCAGGCTTTCAATTTTCTGAAAGAAAAATTTCCAAAAGTCAGTGAGGCAAAGCTGAATGCAGGAATTTTTGATGGCCCTCAGATCAGAGAGCTTTTCAAAGATCCCAAGTTTGATTGCAGCATGGATGTAAATGAGAAGAAAGCCTGGCATGCCTTTAAGTCTATTGTCTCCAATTTTCTTGGCAACTACAGAAGTCCAGAGTATGAACGAGTTGTTGAGGACCTACTTCTGAGCTACAAAGTTCTTGGTGCACGCATGTCCATCAAGATGCACTTCCTCAGCTCCCACTTGGACTACTTTCCAGAGAACTGTGGTGATGTGAGTGAGGAACAAGGAGAACGCTTCCATCAAGATATCCGTGTAATGGAGGAGCAGTACCAGGGTCGCTGGGATATCAACATGCTCGCCGACTACTGTTGGTGTCTGAAACGGGACGCCCCAGACACCAACCACCAAAGAAATTCTCTGCGACAGCCATTTATGCATGTCTAACTGTAAAGCATCTATGTAGTTGACATATTTTGGTCCTATGTGTTGTGGTTACATTTCTTATGATATATTTTGCATAAAAATTTTGACATCATATTTAAGAATTTCGATTTTTTCCTAATTCCCATAGCATAAAAATCTGACCTGATTGGGCAAAATGAATGGCATTTTTGGAATCAGCACGCAAAATACATAAAGAATCAGCTAAGAAACCCCGCACCTCATGAATTTTTTTTCAAATGCAGCCCAGTGTTATCAATGATAATGATAATGATAATTTATCATTATCAACTAATGTGTATATATTGCAAAGTACTGTTGGAATATTATTATGTACACAGCAAATATAATGAGCTTTGCTGAGAATAGTATAAACTATACTCCGAATATTTTTCACTATATTGTGAATATTCTGAAGGAACACGGCCCAGATTATTATAAACATGCCATTTATTAATTTGGCTCATCTTGTGGTTGCAGATTTGCAGTGCAATTCCCAAAGACGAAAAAAATTAAGAAAAAGAAAGAGAGGAATCTACAAGAGGCAGCCAAGGGTAGCAGCTCCCTTCATTTATGGTTCAAGACAGTTAGCACTAGTAGGGAAGATGAAAGGAAAGGAGACCATTCTGATTCATATTTGGAGACAGATGTGTCACCTGAAATAGAAGCCACGAATGAAGAACCTGCTGATGAGCAAGATATTACAGCAGCCACTGCAGGAGAATCATCTTCAAATGAGGCAACAGAAAAGAGCCTTTATAAAACTTCTGGTCAAGAGAAGGGTGTAATGGAGACAGGAGAAGCCACTACAGCTGAGTGTGCATCAGAGGAGGCCACAGAAGAGAGCAGCTCAACATTTTTTTTGTCAATAATGAGGCAATCACTCTCTCAAATTTATTCATTTTGCAATATCCAACAGATCGTACCCATATTGAGAAATTTGATATTAAGTGTAATGACAGCTACATTGTAATGTGCTGTAATGTAAGACCATACAAACCAGACATGACATTCCTGAAGAATGCAAATGGGCGGTCTTTCCAGAAGAGATGGTATTAAAAAAATCCGTGTTTGGAGTACTCGGTTGCCAATTATCTCTTATGTACTTTTTTAGTTGCCGAATTTTTCTCATTGGAGAAATGTTCAAGAGTAGAAGAGGATGGCTGGCTGGGAATAAGTAGGTAGAAGTATGCCATTAAAAAAAATAAATAAAACATTCCAGCATGGTAAAATGGAATAACTACAAAAAAAGCACTCTTGGCTCCTTTTGATGTGTCTGACGTCAAGGGAAAGGAAGTAAGAGAACGCAAAAGACTCAGGAATAGGGAAATTCTGACCCGTGTAATAGATATATCACCATGTATCTAGTACGACAGGGACAGGCTTTTAGAGATGACGAGACGGCCTCCAGTGAAAACCAAGGCAACTTCCTTGAGTTGGTGAAAATGTTTGCCCAGTATGAGAGTGTCATGAATCTGCATTTGGATGCGGTAAAAAAAAAAAAAGCCTCTCAGAAAAGGGCCCAAGTGTCATCGTTGTCAAACAGAACCCAGAGTGACATAATAAAGGCGTTGGGCACCTACAACAGAAAGGAAATACGCAAGAAAATCAAAGAGGCAGAAATTTATTCCATCTTGTTAGACGAAACCACCGATATCTCTCATCAAGAAACAGTCTCATTTGTTGTGCGATTCTTACACGAAATGGAGATAAAGGAAGGATTAATTCAGGTCTGCAACATAGACTCAACCACAGGCCAAGATTTGGAATATGTAGTTATCTCTCTTCTCCAAGAGAATGGCTTAGAGTTGGATAATATGCTTAGCCAGTGCTATGATGAGGCAGCCAACATGAGCGGCATGTACCAAGGGTCTTCAGACCAGGATCCGCACACACAATGAAAAGGCTCCTTACGTTCATTGCAAAGCACATTGCCTGAGCCTGGTCCTGGTGGAAAATGCCAAGTCAAGCATTCATTTTGTGACATTCTTCAACCTGGTTGAGAAGTTGTATGTGTTCTATACAAGGTCCAGAAAGAAGCATGCTGCATTTTCGAAATGTCAGGAGTATGTGTATCCTGACAGAAATCACAGAGAGTGATCCACCGGGCTCCACCGCTGGAGATGCACAGATGCACCTGAATGCCATCAACTTTGAATCCATGCTCTGCCAGGAAGTCGCCACCCTAGTGTTCCAAGTACTATAACTGCGTTTGCCTCAGTTAATCTACAGCAGAAAAATCTGGACCACTTCACAGCCTTCAAAGTCGTGGGTGGAGTGCTGGGGACACTGAACATAATGAGGTCTGAGGAGGAGTTCAAGAATATATTTGATATTGCATCTGATAAAATAGTCTCGACAATCCCATACCCACAGTAACTCCTGGCAAGGAAAGGAAGCGGAAAGTCTCAGTACGGTACCAACAACGCAAAACAGTCGCTCAAGTCAGCTACCACTTCAACACTGTGGAGAAGTACTACCGGGCCATGGTGTACTTACCCGTTCTTTGACACAATGACCAATGAAATCTGCAGACGATCCCAAGGAAAAGGCTGGAGAACGCCTACTTACACAATAATCCATTCTCTTCACTACCTCACAGTTAATGCCAAATTGGTAGGCAGCAAAGATCCTGCAGCTCACCAAGCCATCCACACACTATGTGAAATTTATGGTGTTGAGGAGGAGAAGCAGAAAATGGAACTGAAGGTCTTCCACTCCACTTTCCCATCCAACAACAACAGCATGAGGGAGATACTTGACACACTGAAAGCAAACCATGGCCATCTCATATTCCCAACCCTGGTTGAGATAATGAAAACCTATGCTACACTGCCTGTGCCTATAGGCACAGTGAAGAGGTCCTTCTCCAAATTGAAAATAAACTCAGAAGCCTCTGTAGAGAGGAGAGCCTCTCTGTCCTTCTTTTGTTGGCAATAGAAATAGACTTTCAAGTAAATCACAGCGAGGTCATAAATATATTTAGATATATGGCAACAAGGGCGATTCTCCTGTGAATCACAGGCTGTGATTGCTGACTACTTCAGGTTACATCGACTACCTCAGTGAAGGAAGAGAAAGATGTTTCTTTACCACATAGTTCATAGTTTTCTTTACTTATCCGTAAACATGTTGAACATGTTGGTGTTTTAGCTTAGTCAGCTATATAATTTACAATAATTACATCAGTGAGGTAAGAAGGATATGTGTAATATTTTTTTTAACTTTTTCTTTATATATATATATATATATATATATATATATATATATATATATATATATATATATATATATATATATATATATATATATATATATATATATATATATATATATATATATATATATATAATAATTACAGTAAAAGAATATGTGAAATGTTCTCTGCTCATTGTCACTATGTCTAATATTGAAAGCTTTAATTTGTTTTAGCCATGGTTGAGCTGTAAAGTAGCATTCAATGATCCTGTTTCTTTAGTTTCTGCTGTAAATAAATTGAATAATAATGTCATTGTATGGCATATGATTCATCTACACATCAAGTTGACGTGCATATTGGCAACCAGTATTTCGTAAAGAAGCAGTTTGCATGTTGCTTTTATTACATATTAACTATATTTTCATTAAAAAATTATAAAGTATACCCAAATTCAATGGACATTCATAGAAACTGCATATGGCTTCAAAAAGATCAGATTTCAAACAAGTTTCTCGGACCCCCCAACTGTAAAGGCTTGCTTCGCTCGCCTCCTCCATCAGGCCCTGTACAGCATACATCTGATTATTAAGTAAATACATATACATATGTAACAATATTGCAAATAAACAAAATAATATATACTACAGCTAACACCAACAGATGATGTCTTCTTGAGTCTGTGATGTAAGCAGGCCAAATGGTGATATGATGACACAGGATGGCCGGGTTTTGTCCTGAACCATCTCCTGTAGCAGGTGTTGTTAACTGTCATTCTCCTCTCCCTCCATGAAGGAGGGATTGCACATGCACTGTATACACTAGCCTACAGTAGGCATGCACTGTCCACTCTGCCGAATGTACAGTGCGGTATACGTAACTGTAATCACTTTTTATGTCTTAACACTGCTTTAACACTATTCTTGGCTGACTGTGTCCTGCTACAGTACTGCACAATACAAATTGTATACAAAAACAGCAGTGAGCGAGGGAACAACTTTGTACAGTTGCAGGAGAATTTGAACTAAGCGTACGAGCCTACAGTCAAAGTTACCCAACCACTAGACCACCCATGCGCCTGGAATGTGAGTAATACATTAAAATACTACTACTAAATAAAAAAAAAAGTTTCACTATGCACAGGAGACTAGAGCGGCTGATATCTCCAGCACTACTGCCCTCCTCCTACAATCCCTGGGCAAACTACCACGAACAATCTGTTTAAGCGATTATGTATGAATATAACAGAGTAAGAAAATGAAGAAAATTAAATTACAAGTTGATAAATAACAATAATGTGTCGTACAACTTGGCCCAGTCGGGGGATCAAGGGTGGGATCCCAAAAACCGCACATCGCTCCTGCTCCCCTCTACCTTTCCCACAATTTGCACACATTCTTGTAGTTTTAAGAATTATTTATTATCCTTTTTTTTACCTTATGATAATAATTTTTGGCACATTGTGAATGAGCAATTGTGTGTGTATGTAACAGAGTATAATAAAAATGAATTAAAATGCATATATCTACTCAAAATTATTAACTGAAAAATAACAATAAGAAATGCTTGGGGGATGTAGCTACAGGGACAATGTAACTTGGACACCTGCTAAATCCACACACATTCATTTAACACACACACACACACACACCTATGCTCTTCAGATTTCTTATTTTACAGCATTTTATTTTTATGTGCAGGTACGCTCGATATAATGCCATAAAATAACTACAATAACATAAAAACAATACATAAGAACACTGTGTATTAGTGAGTGAGTGTATATGCATGCGTGATTGAGTGAGTGTGTTTCTGTATGTGTAATCGTACAAAATTGGTAAATGGCTGTAAACATTTGACCTAGCATTTACCATTGCCATATGAAAAATTCTGGAGAGCTTGGTGTATTTTTTCACGCAGCTGTTTAGAAGTACAGGCACGGACAGGGGGGTGATCATCCCCCGCTGTGAATTTTCCCATTGAACTTCATTAATTTGTAAACTGCGTGGCTCCGTACGAGCGAAAAAACAAAACACTTAGAATATGAGAGCTATGGCTAGCCCGCCCGATTTGAAATATTATTGTAGCGTGTGGTTATTTTTCATTTGCGAATAAGTAGGGTATACTTTACGAATATCGAATAGGGGTGTTAAAATATCAATTGCGGAAAAGCTGGGTTACAAATATCAGGGTTACGAATATTGAGATATTCCTATATGTCAAATAACATTGTAAATATTCAGAACCTCACTTAATTGCCTTCTCGGTTGTATCTTGTAGTAGACTTAGTGGGGAGTGAACACTGCATTTCCTAGTGCAAAGGTCCCACTTGTCATAAGTGTTCCTTGGGGCAAGAGGCCAAAATTTATCCAAAGAGACACTTTGTCTTTATGCATAGAACCTACTAATTAGAGTAAATTATGCTAATTAGCATCTTGAATGTAGGCATACTTTACAACTTTAGAACCGTTTGAGCCACAAACTTGTGTGATATATCAATTTCTACTAATTTGGGGTTGAGAAACTCATTTCTGGTATTACTTTTGTGATAGGTGGTTATTTAAAAGGATATTTTAAGGCGAATTCCAAGATAGCTGTTATTGGTTAGATCAGAAAAGTATGAGGCATCAAACTTATCTTGGAGTACATCTTAATGTTTTAATTCATTGAGGACAAAATTTATAATGCATGACTTTTTTCGTATTTTCAGGTTACATTATTGATTACAGTGATAGTAGATTAAAAGTGACCAGTAAGGATACATGTGATTGGAACTTATGTTTTATATGGCAGTCAGACACAAATGAAGCAGTTGCAGATTCCGCATCATCTATAAAATTACGTGGCCAACCCAAGAAACTAGAAGCATGCTACCAAGAACTTCTGGACAATATCTCAGAGCTCTATGAGTTAGGTGAGTTACCCAGCTTCGTAGTACTAGATGAAATTGGTGGCGGGGATGGTGGTGCAATCAGTATAGTAGAACTTATGAAAACTAACCATGCAGTGTGGCACAAAAATTGCAGTTGTTTGTGGAACTGGCAAAGTACATGAAGCAGATGATTCTTCCACAGGTGCGAAGCATAATGTGCATTTTGTATAAAATTGTACAGGAATATGGCAGGTATGTTGTGTTCACTAAATCCTTTTAACTCTTATACATCAAGCTCTCACAAAATCATTTATTTTGTCGACAGGACAAGCAGCTCTTCACCACCATCCTCAATGACAGCGTGAGTGTTCCAGCTGGTGTTGACTTGGGTGCAATGGCGCCATGTTCACACGAGGAGGCAGACACCCGGATGATCCTGCATGTGGCTGCAGCTGCCTATGATGGCCATCGTTAGGTGATCATCCGCACGAGTGATAGTGACGTGGTCGTGCTGGCTGTCTGAGCAGTGGCAACTCTGCGACAGAGAATTGATCAACTATGGGTTGCATTCGGGGCTGGCCGCAACTTCAGGTATTCTGTTCTTCTTGTTTCTCGTAATAAAAATATTAGCAATATCTTTGAAATGCAATTCAACAGTGACGAGTTGCTGATATTTTAGTGATGTTTTAATACTTCATTTATTATATCTTCAGGTACATTCCACCTCATCAAATTGCACGCAACCTTGGGCCTTCGAAGTTGATGGCTCTGCTGGCATTTCATGCACTCACTCATGTCCTGTTGCAACCCAACATTGGAGATGATTGAGCGGC